TTTGAGTCGCCGGGCATAGAAATTGGGGAGTTTAGCATATCTACCAGCAGCAGAGAGGCCATTGGCGTTGGATGTTCAGGCCTTAGCCAGCCAGTTTGTGAGATTGGATATTTCTAAGCCAAATTGAGTATTGGCTTGTATGGTCTCTCGGTCTTCTCTTTATGATCGTATCAGGGAGCGTAGCTAAATCCCGAGGTCCCCAACTCAAAATATGGATAAATGGCTCAAAGGTCCGAAATTGGACATTAAATCCATTGCCTAGGCTTCCTTCTTCACGACGGCGATGAATAAATTCTTCATCAGCGATTCCCAAACTCTTTCAAGATAGCCTCTAGTATAATGGCCATAACGTTTTTTACAAAACTCCAAATGAAAAATAGTTTAACTTTCTAAAAACTAGACATCAAGGGCTACAACTTCTAATTTTAGATCATCTCCAAATTCCTTATAGATTGCAAGATATAAGTTTCATAAGTCAGCCATGTGCAACAGGAATTTCTCCTATGCGATCGCGAAAAGGCCTTCGCGATCACGATTCACAAGGCCCCAAACTGCAGTTTGCTCTTCGCTAGCGCAACCAAATGTTCGCGATCGCGATGCACACCCCTGTAGCCAAAAATCAGCAACTGAAAATGGCCTAAAATGGCCTAAAACTCACCCCAAGCCCTGGGGCTCCACGCCAAACATCCACATAAGTCTAGAAACATCATGAAAACTTGCTCGCGTGATCAAATCACCAAAATAACACCCAAAATCATGAATCGGACATCAACACGCATGAAATTTGAAGGGAGAACTCAAGAACTTCTAGAATTACAATCAAGCGTCTGAATGCTATCAAACCAACTGCGAACGACCCCGAATTTTGCAGGCAAGTTCCAAATGATAACGCAGACCTACTCATTATTTCAAATCTCACTTAACAATATCAGAATTACAAATCGCACCTCAAATCGACTTAATGAAGTTAATGAACTTTCAAAATTCAAAACCGACGGCGAACAAGCCTAAACACTTCGGATTGATCTAAAATTTGGCACACAAGTCATAAATGACATAATGGATCTACTATAACTCCCGGAATAGAAATTTGACCCTGATATCAATAAAGTCAAACCTCGATCAAACCTATGAACATTTCCAAACCTTCAAATTTTTAATCTTCGCCAATTAGTGCCGAAACCTTCTAGAATTATTCAAATACAAATCCGGGCATACACACGAGTCCAAAATCACCATCCGAACCTAACGGAATCATAAAAACTCTGATCCGAGGTCGAATACTAAAAAGTCAAACTTGGTCAACTCTTCCAACGTAAAGCTTTAACTATGAAATTCATTCTTCCAAACTAATTCCGAAAATACCTGAAAACCAATACCGACGATTCACATACGTCATAATACATCATATGAAGCTACCCAAGACTTCAAATAGTTGAACAGAATGCAAATGCTCAAAATGACCGGTCAGGTCGTTACAGTTACAAATGCCTTCTTATTCCAAATTTCTAAAAGAAATTTTGTCAAGTAAAAGGAAATTGAAAGAAGTTTCTGTGGTAATGCTTACTGAAAAATGTAGTGCTATACTTCAAAATAAGCTACCACAAAAACTTGGTGATCTAGGTTGTTTTACGATTCCATGCACATTGGGAGGAGTATATTTTGAAAAGCACTTTGTGATTCTGGAGCTTCAATTAACTTGCACAAAAATAAGACTGCAGCCGGTGAATATATTCCTCGAAAATGCAATTAGTGGAATTATGAGATTATAGGAGCTACTATTCGTGACAATTGGGTAGTTGATTTGGAGAATCGAACATGCAGCTGTAGAAAATGGAGCATCATGGGAATTCCTTGCAAGCATGCTATTACAGCAATTTGGGCTAAGATGGATGACATTCTTGACTATGTGGATGACTACTACAAGGTAGAAACGTACGGAAGAATTTATCAGCATGCAATTCTTCTGATAAATGGGCCACAAATGTGGGCTAAATCAACTAAAATTCCTCCTTGGCCTCCAAGGATGGTAAGAAAAAATAAGAGAGGAAGAAAACAAAAAGTGAGAAGAAAGGAAGTTGATGAGGTTGGAGCAAGTCGAACAAGGATGAAAAGGAAGCAACAGTCTCTAGACTGTAGTATATGCAACAAGTCTGGCCACAACAAAAGAACTCGCAAATATAATGTTGTGCAACCAGAGACTACTTCAATCCGTGAAAAACTGCATGTACTATCTATGAAACTATATTAAAATTAGTTGTTTATTAAATAAACTTAAACTAACATAGAATATATGTATTCATGGTTCAAATTAGACGGTGGCAAGTTGAAATGCGACCAGAAGAAGTTGGACAAGAAGTAGCAGTTGAAATAGATTCTGGTTGGATATACTCTCAACAGACACAACAAAATTAAATGGATTACTGGTAAATTTATTTTTTCTAGTGCTAATATGTGTTAAATGTTAATGGTAGCTTATCCTCATTTCAAATGCTTATATGTGCATTTTTCAGGTATTGCTATCAGCTTCTTTGGTGCTGCTACTATGCTGCTTTCCGATATTTGGTGATGTAGTACTGCTAATGAGTTGTAGTTTCATGTGGTGCTATTCTGTTGCATTTTCAAGTGCTCCTTTTTCAAATGACGTTGTTATTGTTCTGCTTTTCTTTTTTGGTCTTGGGGTGGTGCTACTATGGTGCGCTTTTTCAAATTTCTGCTATAGATATAAAGTTTTCTTTGTTGTGATTGCCAAAGACATTTCAATGTTCAGGATATTATCACAGATAAGGCGACTTCTTTTGAGTTAATTAAAATGAACTGTGAGTTAATTAAAATGTTGTCAAGCAATTATATAAAATAGTAGTAACTGTTTGTTCCCAAGAATTAAAGAACTATATATTGTAAATGCCCCTACATAGTTTGTTTTGAAGGAAATATCATGTGCATATTCGGATGTCTGTTAGAAAACTCACGGTAGTTAGGTTTGAGACTTAAAATATATCACTTTTTAAAAAACTATGGACTATTAATACTCCACCCAAAAAAAATAGGATTACTTTGAACCAAAGTCCAAAAGGTATCGTACTATTTGGAGCTTTTCCTCAATTTTGAATGTAGCATGCCAAAATTGACTTTCCAAGTTGGCACAAACAATAAGTATTTATGACCCTGTGGCATGTGGGAACTGTTGTGTTCTTTTCCAAGCCACACGTAAACAAAAAATTGGAGTATACAAAAAATAAAATAAAAATAAAAAAGCAAAAGGAACTGTGTTCTTTTTTGGTTTTTCTCCGTTTGGTTATCCAACTCCAAGGGAATATAATAAAATATCAACACCCAAAAAAGAATACAATTCTTCTTCGTCATTCCTCTTCTCATCTTTCGAATTCTCTTTGTTCTCGCCGGTCGCCGGAGATTCTATCGGAATTTTTTTCAAGACGTTTATGGATTGCAGAAGCAGATCCCTTTCAGCATCGCCGTCCGCCGCCAACAATCAATCTTTGCTTCTTCCTATTCTGCAGTTTTCATCTCAGCTCTCTAACCCTTCATTCACTCCTTTTACTCCTTGGATACGATACCTCCCGTTCAGTTTCTCCTGATTTCTCTATCTCTAAAGGTATATTGACTATCTTATCCTTGATTCCTGCTTAATGTTTAAACTATTAGCTAAAGGTTGGATTTTTACTTCTTTTTTTGAAATGAGCGAAAAGAGTGCAAGGATTTTTACTGTTTCTGAATGGTGCAAAGGTTAATTGTATTGTAGTTTTCCTAAATTTGAGCTAGAGGTTGAATTTTTACTGCTTTATAGAACTGCAGAATGTTATTGACTATTTTACCAATGATTTCCTGTTTACTCTTTCAAATTTAGAATAATAGTATATTGAAACAGGAATGTAAGTTAATTGTAGTTCTCCCAAGTTTGAGCTAAAGGTTGGACTTTTACTGCTTTATCCAAAGAAAGAAAAGAGTTGGATTTTACTGCTTTATCAGAAGAAGAAAAAAAACACGAGTAAAGGTTGGATTTTTACTGCTTCTCAATGATGCAAAGGTTTTGAAGTTGTTAAAATTGTAAATTTAACTGAAGGTAATTATTATAGGACATTAACAAGAATACATGCTAATTGCCGTTTTCCTAAATTTTAGCTAAAGGTTGAATTTTTGCTGCTTCTGAATGCTGCAAAGGTTCTGAAAATGTATAAAGTTAATGTTTTACTAAGGTGATTATTGTAGGAGATAAGCTGTGTAAACATCATTGGTTTTAACTTTTATGTATGTAAGTGCAATGGTAAATATTATACTGCTTTAAATCAAATTTTCGTCTTTCAAGTATGGTTGTACTTTGTAGAACTTATTTGAGAACCAACATAAAAAGAGTCTTAATTGGATTGAAGCACTAAAATTAATTTGCATAAAAGTAAGCTGATCAAAAGGTTGTAAGAGAAAGGCCTCGTGGTTAAGGCATGGGAGTAACAACCTACAGATGTCAAGTATGAATCCTAGTTAAAACACTTGGTGAGCCCACCTGTTCTAACCTTGGTAGACAAGATTACACAAGCAATGTATGCTTGTTGGTTGGACAGGATGTCTGGTGAATTAATCGAGGTGGTCATAAGCTAGCCATGACACCATAGATATTAAAAAGGAAAAAAATGTAGACAGATCTAAAGTGTAGAGCTTATGATAGTTGGTAGTCTAGAATAAATTTGGACCCGTCAAAGTTAAACAGTGTTTTTTAACCGGCCTTATATGCATGTGTTACATTTTTAGTTCTATAATTCTAGCTTTTGTATGTAATTTAAGTTCAAAATTTTGTTGCAGTTTAAACTCTTTCAGTGAAGCTGTCATTTTTTCCAAAACCTGGAGCCTAAATTTAAGCTTGAATTAAGGAGACATTATCCGAGTTACAGCCAAGAAGAGGAAGTGGTGTGGCACTTAAAATGATTTAAGTGCTTTCTATGCACAACTAAAGATGGCTGCTTCTACAAGTGTGACAAGTCCTCTANAAGCCCAAGAAGAGTGGGTTGTCGCTAACAGGCTAAATGCCCAGGCAGCAAAGGAAATTCTGAGCATCCGCAACCGTAAGAATGATGAGTGGACATTCGACTTGCATGGTCTTCATGCAACAGAGGCAGTTGAAGCTTTACAAGAACATTTGCAAAAGATTGAATCTCAGGTGAATCGTGCTGGTCATATGAATCAAGTGAACTTGAAGCCCAGCTTTGGAGCTGCTGTATCTGTTGAAACTTCAGATTGTATTGATGTGGATAATGAGAGCAAAGGGTCCCTGATGAATAAGCAGCGACCAGCTTTCTTGGAGGTTATAACAGGTACTTTTCTCTTGATAAGTGTTGCTCAAGGATATGATACATCTTATAAGTAGAGATGTATTCACCAGCAACATGTTCTTCAATGTGGTTGTAGTTATAAGTTGCGTGTTTGAACCTGTTTTTACTTCTATCTGGATGACTGTCACTTCACCACTCACTCTATTTCTTTAGCTCTGGGCATTCTGTTGCTATCTGGAAGTATTGTGAGAATGGTGTGTTTTCAAAAAATGTTGTGCATTAGTTGCTTTAACTAGGAAAATTGAGTAGCCTGCTGTGACTTGCTAAGCTTGATACATGATGAATCACTATCAAGAGCTCAATTTCATACATGTTATCAGGTCATAGCATCACGACATAAATGAGTCTGTAATCCTTCCTTTTAATAAAGCATACTTGTTATGTTGATCATTCTTACCAGCGTGGCAAAACTTCTCATGGATCGTCATTTGTTTTTGAATTTTATTTAATTGGAGCATCTTTTTTTACTAGTTTAACTGATTTACAAGCATAAGGTCGTCTGACTAGTCTGAAGTGTTGCTGTATACAATTTCACAGGTAAAGGAACTCATAGCCGGGGACATGCTGCCCTTCCATTGGCCATAAGAAGCTTTCTCATCGAGAACGGGTATTATTCTCTTCCTTTTAGGCATACAGGNAAAAAAACAAGCAAGCACTTCTCTATATTATTAACTTTGTTGAGAGATCTTGAGTCTCGGAACTGGTCCGAGACTCAAATCCTCCTTTGGTGGTTTGCGTAACTATATACTCCCTCTTTTCCGTTATATAGGTAACTATTTCCTTTTAGTTGGTTCTAAAAAGAATGACACCTATTGTATTTGGTATATTTTGACTTTGAACTCTTCATTTATCCTTAACAGCATGCTCTTGTAGTCGTAGAACTGTTATGGTATGTTTAAAACCACAAGTTCTATAGGGTGGTTTTGGCATGTGTAAAAGTCTCTTTTCTTTCTTAATTCTATGTTCAATCATATGTCAGCCGTATAAAATGAAACAGATGGAATAGTATTGAGTATAATACTATTATGCATCTTGCTTTAGTAGTTTGTAATTCGATACCACTGAATATTATGCTTTTCATTGGTTATACTAGAATATATTGGAGGCATCTTTGGCACCATAGTCCTAATACTAAGGTTTTATAAACTTGATAAATTTTTAATCACTGGTGGGATTGTGATACTGCTAGTAATTTGGCCAAGGTCGTCACTGCAACTGCTAAAGCTCTATCCTCTTCTAAATCTTATCATAGTTTTCTCTTTCTCTTGCCAACAAGAGGTTTTTTTATACGGTATGACTCCACAAAATCTTCTCTGTTCCATTAATCTCTTTTGTTTTTAGAGCAGCAACTAAGCGAATTTTGTTCTAAGACATCAAACAAGTGAGTTTTTGCAAACAAATCTCATGATGCGAGTGGCTTCTCTATCTCTTTATTACCTGTTGTGTATGAACTCTAAAATAGAACTGGGGGAGTTGTTCAAGTCAGTGAACAGGAAACTTAATGCAATTTGGGTATGCTTAGAAACTTGTAGTACTTGAACACCTAAGCTCAAACTGAAATTGATTTAGGTAAACGCTGGAAAGCATGCCTTATGTCTTATCACCAAATCCGAAAGAAGACTATTGTCCTATGATATGAAAATTCAATAATCACCAACTTTTCCAATGAATCAAACCAACTCTTATTTTTAAAGAACACGAGTTCAATTTGAGTACAACAACAACAAACCCAATATAATCCCACAAGTGGGGTCTAGGGAGCGTAGTGTGTACATAGACCTTACCCCTACCTTGAGGGGTCGTTTGGTATGCGGACTAAATTATCCGGGGATTATAGACTAATTTATCCCAAATAATATCAAGTTTGATGGGATAAGGTGGGATTATCCAGTATTAAGTTTGGGATTAAATTTATACCACGTTCCAGGATAAATTTGTACCATCAACCAACATTGTATAAATTTAATCCCTTACCTACCTTATCCCGCGTACCAAACGACCCCTGAAGATAAGAGGTTCCCGATAGACCACTAGCTCAATGAAAGGTGAAAAGAAAGCAGTAGCAACAAACAGTAACAATAACAAGATAATAAGAAAATGAAGCAAAAGAAACATGTAATAGAAATCTAACAATAATAGAATACAAGACTAACACTAATACTACTGGTATGGGAAAGAAATACTCTCCACTACCTACTAGCCTTCTACCTTCATTCTCGACCTCCACACCTTCTTATCAGGGGTTCAACTTGAGTGCCAACCTCTTTTTTCCAGGTATCCGAGATCCATTGACCCCAACAATCCGCTTCGCGCCGAGTTGTCCCCTAAAGCACTCGTTATCAAAGGGTTCTCCATTCCCACGATTCGAACATGATAAATCAGTAAGAAGATTCTCATCCCATCACACCCCCCCTTTGGTTTGAGTGCCAGCTCTTGCTTACAAAGAAGCAGCATGATTGAAGAGGCAGACCATGACAAGCATGGGGATATGACATTCATCTGGGGTTTAGTGAGTAGCCCAGATCATGACCTAATTCTACATGATTTCATGACAACCAAAGAGAATCATCGTTCTTGCAACAACAAAGTTAACAAAACGAACCTCAACTGAAGAAAAACCTCAGCAACGAACTATTTGATTAACTTTCTTTTCACTAAAAAATCTCAATAGAAGAAAAATTTATATAATGCCATAAGTCAGTAGTCAAAACAGCAAAAGGTACATGTCAAGCACAAATTTTTTGAACAATCAGCCAGGATTAGCCTCCACCAAAGCCCATATAGATAACAAAACTTTAAATGGTTTGTAGCTGCAGTTTGAATTTTGAAAGCATTCCCGTGCAGCATGGGTGCTATGTTCATTCTGGAATTAGCTGGTCGTTGTCTGCATCGCCTTCTTCCTCGATTTTTGGTTTTGATTGACCTTGCCCAGCTCCAGGGGCTTGCTTCTTCTTTATTCCACTCACAATATCATCAATTCTCAGAAGCAGGCAAGCTGCTTCAATAGCAGTTTTAAAAGCCTGTGCTTTTACAGCATAGGAATCCCATATCTGGATATTTAAAGTTTCTCCAATTAATATAAGTTCCTAAATTTAATTACTAAAGATAACAGGTGAGAAAGAAGTTAATATCATACCTTATGCTCTTTCATGTCAGCAATCTCACCAGTGTTTCCGTCTATGCCTATCCATGCATTCTCGCCATTTGCATGCTATAGGAATGTGAAAAGAATTAGATGATGAACACAAATATATACTTAAGGCAGCATATCCAACCTCAAACATGTAGAATTTTCACCTTTCCTTGAAGGGCAGTCATAGTGCGAATCACGTTAACACCACAGTTCTGAGCCAAAGTTCGTGGTATAGCTTCAAAAGCAATTGCAGCAGCTTCATAAGGCCACTGCATATATGACAATAGAAGGATGAGAGTTTTAGACTTCCTTTGTTTTTTCCAATTTCCACTTCATGACTTGATATCTCTCTGCAAAAAGTAGTAAAAGTTGAACAAAACAACTTACCTTTTCTATGCCTTCAACGGATGAACTTTTCTGCTTTAACATGGCAGATACAGTTAACTCTGTTGCACCACCACCGGGAACCAGTTTAGGGTGCTTGATGATGTTTCTGGCAACAGACATGGCATCCTGCAAAAGTATATGAAACAGCTCAAACAGTGTACTTAACAGATCCTCTGCTAAATATGTGGAACTGAGAAAATACCTGTAGATTCCTTTCCACTTCATTCAGTAGATCCTTGCTCGCACCCCTTAAAAGTACAGTACATGCTTTTGGATCCTTGCAATCAACGATGAAAGTAAAGAATTCGTCCCCAATTTTTTTCACCTCAAACAGACCAGCACCAGTACCAACATCAGATTCCTGCAACTCATCGGGTCTATTAACAATAACTGCCCCACACGCCTTGGCAATTCTGTTATTGTCTGTCTTCCTTAGCCTTCTGATTGCAGTGACACCAGCCTTGCTCAGATAATGGCATGCCAGATCGCTCAGTCCCTTTTCAGTAATAACCACGTCTGGCTTGAACTTAAGTATCTGTGCGCACATGTTCTCAATGTATTCTTCTTCCATTTTCAAGAGGACAGTCCAATCTTCCTCTCTAAGCAACTCTGCATTGGTTTGGTTCTCGCCTTTCTTGTACTCCAGAGGACTATCAAGAAGAATAATGCGAGGGTTTACAATCTTTCTCTTCATTTTGCCAGGGGCAACTACATCTTTATTTATCATTACTCCTTTAAGCACCACTGAGTCTTCCAACTGCCCACCCGGAACCTTCTCAACCTTGATGTACTTCTTGATGTCCACCTCGCGAAGCCCTTGGCCAACTTCCACGCCAACTATTGTTGTGGCATTAATAGCTAAATCCTGAGATAATACATATTAGACCATAAACACTAATTTAGTAATACATGACCCTTTCAATCCTATTACAGTAAAGGACTTTTCTATTATATATAAATGAGAAGTTGGTCGACCAAGGGTATATTTGTCATTATACCCTTTCATTTTATTATTTTAATATTATTTTCTATTAATATAGAAATGAGTACATATCTACACTATTCTAGAAAAGTTACTTTCCTTTCCTTGCATCCATCAAAACCCAACACCCTATACTTTTCCGTCGCTTTCATCTCCTTTGCTCAGCCACTTTATCTCCTTTACTCTTCTGTAAGTCACTTTCATCTCCTTTGCTCACACTCACTATAAGGCTTCAAAAAATGACCCTTCAAATTTTTAAATGCCAAATTTGTTTGCAAAAGCTTTTCTCTGACCAATAATCAGCAAAGCGGCAAATAAGTTTAAGTAAATTTAATGTTTGTACCATTACATGAACAGATCTTGAATTACATGAAAAGTGAATGCTCAATATGTTTGGGATCCTATGAAGACAAGAAATTGTTAAAGTTATGCCTAAATGTTACCATAGATTTCATTCTCCATGTCTTGATAAGTGGCTTCGTTAAACTTGTCCCCTTTGTAAATCTTCTATTGATTCTTCTACTAGAATTTTAAGTTGTCCGAATTGATACTCATCTGCCTAAGTTATGCGTACAGATTCAGATTTCATCTATTATATAGGAACTGATTCAAACAATGACGATATTCAAGATATAAACAATATAATAATGTCGTTTACTCTTGTAATTTTGAATATTATCTATCTTTTTCTGGTTGTGGTTGCTTATTATTGACACTTTTCTTGATTTGTTTTATTTTTCTTATAGGACTCGCTCTCTGTTGTGATAGCTGTGTATTCGCGCGTTTTAGTAGCAAAGATCACTATGTGGTAAGTACTGCTCTTCTACTAGATTTATTCTTTAATATTTGACCAGAGCATCAAAAGTTTTTGATTTTGGAAACAACATTCCCTCTGTCTATCTAAGTCGTTTGTCATTTATTTATTTTAATTGTTTTTTATGAGTAAAGAATTTACTCATTTTATTCATTTCAGGTCATCCCATCATACTTTAACTCTTTTCAACTAAAAGGTAATCTATTCTATTCAGAATTGGTTATGAAATTTTATATCTTAATTTTTAGTGTACATGCATCTGATTTTCTTTGTTGTGAGTGCTTTATGGGAATATTTGGGGTTGTTTTACTTTAATTTTCTCGATATAATCATATATTTTCCATGGTGCACTAATTCGATAAAGTTAAAACAGTAATGATTTTATATTTTAGAAGAATTTTTAGGGATAAAATTACGCGGTTGAATGTGCACAGATGGAATCTTATATTCATGCAAATTACCTTTTTCCTTTGCCAGCAAATACATAGAAAAAGACCACTATTGTTATCGGCAAAGAACTCCAAGTTCTACCCTAAACTCTTCAAACTCACGCCTAATTCTCTAACTACAAAAGTCAAATAAGATCGGAAAATATAAAAACAGTAAGATTTGGAAAAAAATTAAAAAAGGAGCAGACGTGAAAGTAGCAATACCCAGTTGAGAAAATGGAGAGAAATGGAAAAAGAATTGTTTGAGAGGTCTGGGGAGAACTTGAACAAGTATAACGAAAAAAAAGAAGGTAAAACAAATAAACAATCACTCTTTTTACAAACTGGGAAAAATATTTGGGAAAAAATTGAAAGAAAAGTATACTAATTAGGAGGTGAAAGAGATATCTTCTAGAATTGTGTAGTGTTAGCGTTGAAAAAAGTCATCTCGTCCAGTGGCGAAGCCACATGGTCACAAGGGTGGTCAAGTGACCACCCTTCGTCGAAAAATTGCACTGTGTACATAGGTAAAATATTACGTTTTAGAGGTATATAACACATATTGAACACCCTTTGTCGGGTATTTTTTTCACATCTTTCAAGTTTGAATACCCTTGAAAACATTTCTAGCTTCGCCACTGATCTCGACAAAGCACTTTTATGATTGAGCTAAATGACAACTATACCCTTGGTCGACCATCATGGCTTTTCTATANATATATATATATATATATATATGTGTGTGTGTGTGTGTGTGTGTATATGTATATGTGCATGTGTGTGTGTGTGAACTATGTTTCAATCCCAAAAATCTCTCAATCTAGTTGCCAAAAAGAAACTTCTAAAATATTATTAATAACATCATATAGAAAGAAATGGAAGAACAAATATAGCAATATAACTATAAGTGAACTTATAGGAGGGGATTTCAATGGTCATATTGGGTCAACTGTAGGTGGCTATGGCGAGGTGCATGGCGGTTTCGGCTTTGGGGATAGGAACGGAGGAGGAACTTCACTTTTGGATTTCGCTAAAGCATTTGAGCTGGTGATTGCGAACTCTAGCTGTCCGAAGAGGGAGGAGCATTTGGTTACGTTCCAAAGTACGGTGGCGAATACTCAGATTGACTACCTCTTCCTCAGGAGGTGTGATAGAGGGTTGTACAAGAATTGCAAGGTTATCCCGGGGGAGATTCTCGCGACGCAGCATAGGCTCTTGGTGATGGACGTTGGTATCATGATAAAGAGGAAGAAGAGGTCTGTTCGAGGACGACCGAAAATCAGGTGGGGAGCCTTGACAAAGGATAAAGCTCAGGAGTTGGAGGGGAGGTTATCGGCTATGGGAGCATGGAGGACTAGTGGGGACGCGACCGCTAAGTGGACGACGACGGCGAACTGTATAAGGGAGGTGGCAAGAGAGGTATTAGGGGTCTCGAGGAGTTACTCCGGCGGGCACAAAGGTGACTGGTGGTGGAATGAAGTGGTCCAAGGTAAAGTGGAAGCGAAGAAGGCTGCGTACCTGAAGTTAGTAGGGAGCACAGTCGAGAAGGAGAGGAGAGCGAACAGAGAGAGGTATAAGGTAGCTAGGAAGGAGGCGAAGTTGGCAATCACAGAGGCTAAGACTACACGTTTGGTCGTCTGTACGAGGAATTAGGGGACAAAGGCGGGGATAAGAAGTTATTCCGGCTGGCCAAGGCGAGAGAGAGGAAGGCTCGGGATCTGGACCAAGTAAGGTGCATCAGAGACAAGGACGGTAAAGTATCGATGGGAGACGCACAAATTAAGCGGAGATGGCAGACTTACTTCCATAAACTTCTGAATGAAGAAGGAGACAGGGATATTCTGTTAGGTGAATTGGGGCATTCTGAGAGTCAGCGAGATTTTGGGTACTGTAGACACATCAAGGTTGAGGAGGTCGTGGAGGCTATGTGTAAGATGAGTAGGGGCAGAGCAACCGGGTCAGACGAAATTCCGGTAGAATTTTGGAAGTGTGTGGGTAGAGCAAGCTTGGAGTGGTTGATTGGGCTGTTTAATATTTTTTTCAGGACAAAGAGGATGTCAGACGAGTGGAGATGGAGTACGGTGGTACCATTGTACAAGAATAAAGGTGATATCCAGAGTTGCAATAACTATAGGGGTATCAAGTTACTAAGTCATACCATGAAAGTTTGGGAGAGGGTGGTTGAAGTGAGGGTGAGAAGGACGGTGTCTATATCCGATAACCGGTTCGGGTTCATGCCGGGTCGCTCAACTACAGAAGCTATCCACCTTATTAGGAGGTTGGTGGAACAGTACAGGGATAGGAAGAAGGATCTTCACATGGTGTTTATTGACCTGGAGAAAACGTATGATAAGGTGGTTAGGGAGGTCCTTTGGAGATGCCTGAAGGCAAAGAGTGTGTCGGTCACTTACATCAGGGGGCGATTAAGGACATGTGTGATGGAGCTAAGACTCAGGTTAGGACCGTGGGAGACGATTCTGAGCATTTTCCGGTTGTTATGGGATTGCACCAACGATCTGCACTCAGTCCGCTCTTATTTGTTTGGTGATGGATGCAGTGACACACCATATTCAAGGGGAGGTGTCATGGTGTATGTTATTCCCTGATAACATAGTTCTGATTGATGAAACGCGAGGCGGCGTTAACGAGAGACTGGAGGTTTGGAGACGGACCCTTGAATCTAAGGGTTTCAAGTTGAGCAGGACGAAGACAGAATACCTGGAGTTCAAGTTCAGCGCCGACGCGAGTGAAGCGGGCATAGACGTGAGGCTTGGGTCACAAGTCATCCCCAAGAGTGGCAGTTTCAAGTACCTTGGGTCAGTTATTCAGGGGATGGGGAGACGAGGATGTTGCACACCGTATAGGGGTGGGGTGGATGAAATAAAGGTTAGCATTTGGAGTCTTATGTGACAAGAAAGTGCCATTGATGCTAAAAGGTAAGTTTTATAGAGCGATGGTTAGATCAGCCATGTTGTATGGGGAAAAGTGTTGGCCAATTAAGAACTCACATATTCAGAAGCTGAAAGTAGTAGAAATGAGGATGTTGAGGTAGATGTGCGGGCACATTAGGATGGATAAGATTAGGAATGAATATAGTCGAAAGAAGGTGGGCGTGGCTTCAATGGATGACAAGATGCGGGAAGCGAAGGTTAGATGGTTCGGGCACGTGCATAGGAGAACGAGAAGAGGTAGAGGGCGGCCTAAGAAGTATTGGAGAGAGGTGATTAGGCAGGATATGGCGTGACTTCAGATTTCCGAGGACATGGCCCTTGATAGGAAGGTATGGAGGTCGAGCATTAGGAGGTAGTTGAGCATTTTTCTACATCATTCCAGGTGAGACTAGTTTGATAGGGTTGTGTCTTAGACTGCTAGTGGTTAATGTTGTGTTCATACTATTCTTCCGTTTTTCATAGTACCGAGCCTTATTTACTTGTTATTGTTATTGCTTTTCATCTATTTTCTTGTCCTTATGTTGTTATTATTTCTGTGATTTCTGTTGATGGTACTGATTTATTACCTCTGTTCGTCTTCTTGAGCCGAGGGTCTTTCGGAAACAGCCTCTCTACTCCCTCGGGGTAGGGGTAAGGTCTGCGTACTCATTACCCTCCCCAGACCCTACTTGTGGGATTACACGGGGGGTTGTTGTTGTTGTAACTATAAGAGAACTATAAGAAGCGTTAGTAGTCAGCTAGTCTCTATGCATGTCTTTCTTCTTGATCCTCAAACAATTAATTCTTTTTGTATCGGGTAAAAGAACTCAACATAACTATGACATTAATGTCAACTAGTGATATATCCATGTCTTCCTCATGTTCAAACCATGACTTCTTTTCATGTTGGGTAATAGACTCATGAGAAAGATATCTATGCATAAATATATGTGTGATGCTTTTGGTTATTCCCACTTGTAGGTTATAGTACATATCTTCAACAAGAGGTAATCTATACAAAATTAAGACACAATACTAAGTTAAACCATTTTATTGTTTGATGTTTGTCGGTGTTCAGATGATAGAAGAAAACCAAAAGCACACTATTGCATTGTTTTATTGTTAATGAAATAGTGCAGAACCAGCTAAGAGCTCGAAAACAACGATTTCTTGATTTTAGGACTCTCATATTTCCTCTTGTTCAATTGCAATGATAAACTTCATGAAAGAAAATCCCCATGTCAATGGAGAAGAGAATTTCTTCAAATGATAATCCTTGCTTTAAAAAACAGGTCTACATGAACATTTCAGTCCAAATATTTACTTCAAGGTGAAGGTTTTTCAATTCATTTCTTCATGACCTATGGAGAGCGGTTATTAGAAATAAATTAATACTTACTGCAATTAAATCCCCAAATTGACTAGTAAATTTTGTTCCAATGCAACTCTTCACCAGCCCCAACATTGTTGCTCCTGCCACAATAGCAATTATTTTGAGTAATAGTGCATGTTACATCACATTCAGAAAATTTACACCTGAGCTACAATAATGCATAAATTCTCTTCCTGTATTTTTTTTTTATGAAGTAATATGTTTTATTAAGAAGGCATCAAGAAGATGCAAAGTTACAAGAGGCACATGAGCTAAATAAACTAAAGATTACAGGAGAATATTGTTTGCCCCCAAACAAAGTCTCAATCTAGGACAAGAGAGCTAATAAAGTCCCAAAGGAGCCCTGTGCTATTTACGGGGGACAACTTTGTCCAGCAAAAAAGGTTGAACAGGCATTTAGATTTGAGTATATGGTTCGGGGTTGAGGTGTCATCAAAGCATCTTCTATTCCTCTCGTTCCATAAACACCAAAAAATAGTTGCAGGGATCATAAGCCAGATCTTCTTGATGACCTTATCAACCTCCCAAAGACTCCAGCTCATATGTGCCTCTCTCAGGGTCTGTGGCATTACCCAGCTTAGACCAAAAATACAAAAGAACATGTTCCATAAGTCTGTGGCTACTGGGCAGTGTAGAAGTAGGTGATTAATTGTTTCCTGGTGTCTCCTGCAAAGATAACATCTGTTGACCAGCTGAAATCTCCTTCTGCATAGGTTATCTTGTGTTAAGCAGGCTTCGTGAAGGGCAATTCAGTTGAAGCATGTCACCTTCACAGGTAATTTTGTCCTCCATATCAGTTTCCAAGGCCATGAATGCAATACCTGATTCTGATTGTTAAGTTGCCTGTAGCAATCTTTAACAGTATAAAGACCTTTACATCCCCATCTCATGCTGTCTGGAACATTCTCATCAATGATGTAGGCCTCTAATTTTGCTAGCATTTCCATCAAGTCTTCTATCTCCCAGTCTTGAACAGATCTTCTGAGCTGCACATCCCAATTATCATTTGCTCTGTTATGAGCAATAGAAGAATTCTTGTCCAAGGCAATGTTGAATAAGCTAGGATAGTCCTCCATGAGAGCAGTGTTGTTTAGCCATTTATCCTTCCAAAACTTAATATGACATCCATTGCCTGGTTTGAAATGAATATTCTGAAAAAATACATTCCCCAGTTTACTAATATGCTTCCAGGGCCCTACTCCATGGGATG